ATTATTATTATTATTATTATTATTATTATTATTATTATTATTATTATCATCATCATCATCATCATCATTATCATCATCATCATCATCATTGTCATTACCAGGTTTTCAGGCGTCTGTGGTGTAGCGGTTAAGCGTTTCACTGTCACACACACGAGATCCGAGTTCAGCTCCCCAGTGGGGATAACATTTTTATTGAGTATCTTGGTCTTTCAGCTGGGATGTTGTATCCCTCCCAGCCCAGGTTGGTCCTGCCTGGCAGGTTCGGAAGCCCGCCTCCCATATGATCTAAATTGTGTCGACGGGGGCGTATAAAATACCCTACATAAAAAAACAAGTTTAGCTAGGTGTTGGGTCTTCTCCTTTTTCTCCCGTTTGCTCCATTTTCAGCTAGATCTATATTGACGAGGTCTATAATTGCATTGTTGTTACCAATTCATTTTCGAACTGCACGTTTGACACCCCTTTCAACATGGTAATTTGTTGAAAATATGAGACCTCCGAATTTAACGTCCATCAGTGATAGGACAGAGCCACGTACGTCGAGATCCTGAAATTCGCTGAACAACCCAAGTTCAAGATTGCAAATTAAAAACGATTCGAACCAGGGTCATCCACACCTTAGCTCAGTATAATCATGTTTCCGACCTCGTGTTGCTTGTATTCACTTAAAGTGAGGCGTAAATTATTATTTGTTCTGACTATGTTTCCTCTATACACAGCAGAACGCTGTGCCTTTTACCTGTCACTATCGCGGTTTTTTCGGGTTCAGACTGTCGCGCTGATGAAACTCTCAAAACGACAGGACCTCCGAAACTTGATACATGTACTTCTGATGCATTGAAAGAAGGTAAATGGAGGTAACCTTTTGCTGAGTGTTGGTTTTAACGTTTTGCAAAATAAGACTGTAAAATTTAATCAGCTCTAACTTACTCTTAAAGTTAAGAGATCTGGAGTAAAATGGTAGGACAAACCAATACTTCGGAGTCCAGGGGCACACCCTTTGGCAGTGAAATGACCGTATACACAAACTCTTTAGCTGCTCATTGCAAGGTGGAATTGTCATACAATTAGAATTATTACTCGGCCCACTTAGTTCATCTCAAAGCGGAATGTATACTTATGGGCACTCTAACAAGGCCTCAGCATTCGAGATATCGCAGATTCCACCAAAAACATCTGTTAGGAATAACAATTTCAGCAGCGACAACAAAAGTCAATCAGACAACTAAAGAGTAGAACAAATGATTTAAATCAGGGTGATAAAAAAAACTTACAAACTACTAAAAAACCAAACCAAAACAACAACTGTACAACTTGTTTTGTAAATATCTTCCTCCATACTGAAGTTTTGCGTTTCAGATTTGGACATAACATTTCGAATCCAAAAGGAATTTGTCTGATATTCATTTTAGATAAGTCCATTGAAGGATTTTGCTCTATATGGCGCATTAAAAAAACGACCCATTTTCAACCTTGTCGCCATTTTCATAGCATGACGCACCAGGCCTACAAGTGTAAGTCGCAACATTCGCGCCATATTGCAAGCCACAGCAGTCTAACAAATCAACAGAAGTCTACAGATTTTATTTTTCCCGAATTTTGTTTGCCTGCTGAGATCATGGTTACGTTTAGCAAAGAGCTTTTTGAATTGAACCTCTCCACAAACTCACCATCCTTGACATTTCGTAAGTTCTGCGCACGGCATGGAGAAAATGCTTAGGTGCCCCCAAGACCTTTGACGTCATGAGTAGAAAAGTTCCTTCAGTTCGGATTTATAGCGAATCAGAATGAAAAACTTCCTTTAAAAAAAACAACTTCAGGTCCAACACGCACAATGCTCAGCCCTTTAAACGTCACCAGGGTGCAGATTTCAGAAGTCGAGTCCCACGAGACGACTGTCCCTAGACGATCAGCAGCTGGGACTTTTCTACACCTCAACAGTTTGCATTTTCATGGCAGATCTTAACGTACGACTGTAAAATTTTCATCTTCGTTAGGCCGAGATGACATGGATCAGAGCATGGCAATGTGTTCATGATTCCTTGGTTGTCTTGCAAAGTGGGATCATTTCCTCGATTACGTTTGGTTTAGTGCAAAGCCCATTTTCACCCTGCGGGATATGTTGACTCCAAAATTACTGTCTGTTGGGCATTCCCTATTGTCTCTAGAACTCACTTCATACTGAACATGTATAGTATATGTGGCTTTAAACTCTCATGGTGTTGCAGGTCCGTGTGTTTGGGCGCCATTGAACATTTCGAACGACGCGTTAACAATGTGTCTAGTCCAAAGGAACGCATGAAGAGCACTGCTTCGGGGAATTTTAGAATGAAATCATCGTTATTTTTAAAAAACTCTGTATACGAAATTAAATATTGTTTAAATGTCACATGGATGGAAAATTAAGTGTCAAAGAGAAATAAAGAAAAAAGGTCAACCAATCTTTTCCCGAATTCCTTTACAAGATTTTAAAAAATTGGTGAACTTTGCGTTTTTGGGTGCTTTTTTCTAAGAAAAAAAAGTAACATTAACATTTTCACATTCCCCCCCAGAAACGTCGTCCCTGTTGTAATCTGTAGCCTTCAGTGAGAAATCTGCTACATGTTACTATTACCAATAACTGAAATAATAATATCTATATCTATATCTTATAAATAAACCCCCAACCCAAAACATAAACAAACACACATAAAAGAACAAACAACAACACGGAAATCGTTGCATGTCGTCCACAGAGATTTACATTATCTGTTCATCAAAATGGCTTTTGCTCTCGGAGTTCTGTTCCTTGTGGCCTTTGCCATGGTGACAACGGAGGTCAAGGCCGCGTCCTGTGACGGCAAAGCTCCCACAGCGTGCACGAGAGAGTACAATCCAGTGTGTGCGACCTTCACTAAGACCTTCTCAAACAGCTGTGAAATGGAAACCAAACTCTGCGAACTGGCCAAAGACGGCTTTGAGGCTACCGGGGTAATGGGTGTCGTGTTTGTTTCCTTACAGTTCGCTACCCAAGAATTACAAAGATCCATCTGCTCAGTACCTACTTTTGAGAAATATGACGTAAAAAAATTGATATTCACATCGTGTCAAACTTTTTCAAATGCAGCTCTTTGACTATCTTGAGAACGACTCGGATCCGAATAATCTTACAATTTTGATACGGCATAATGATATAGAACATTTTAGTTTCTGATGTCATGGTTTTTTTATAGTAACTCAAAACGACCAAGTGTTTATAACGGAAGCTGTTGTAATTGCTGATGTTTTTACGGTCCAATAGTCTTAATCAAAGATGCTTTTTAAGTTCCGTAAAGACTAACTTCAGGGGATGGGCGGGGACGGGGGTCGTAAACCCTAAAACCTGTTACTTGTTGTTAGCGGCTACAAAGAGGCTTTCTTTGTCTAGAGGTATGGAGTTAACCTCTCATTCAATAGGTTCCGGGTTCGAAACCTGACAGCGATGGAACATTTTCATTCCTAAAATGTTCTCCTTTCATCTTCTTTCCTGCTTTCTTACCATGCTCTGTCGTCTTCTTTCGTCTCCAGCCCCCCATCCCTTTTGCTCCCTCCCCTGGCCTCCTAACTCTTTCTACAGCCTTTATAATGCTACTTTTTCGCTCCATCTTACTGCTGTCTTTCAGCCACAGCCCTGATCTTAGGGTAGGTAAGATTGAACATCTAGCCTTCTCGGATAAGGGCGAGAAATCTGGGAGGTCCCGTGAACACGTTGCGTACGTTAATGATCCCTTGGTGGTCCAAAATCGATAAGAACAGGCTTCGACCGCAACCCGGGCAAAATTCAAAATTAATTCCAACCAAATTAAAAATGTTTATTGTGTCCCGCACGCTCATATGACCTTAAGCAGTTGCGAGCGCAGTAAAACACTTAACCCCCCACCCCCGAAGAAAAACCCCTTAAAACAAACAATCAACCCCCCCCCCCCCACACACACATACACTTTTCACACATTTTCTTTCTGTCTTAAACAACATACACTCATCAAGAGATGACAGCCAGTTGAATTTGTCTTTGTCTCCACTTTTCTGTTCATATTGACAAAAATTTATTAAAATAGATAATTCTTATAGTACAATGCTCACAAATAAGAAATACATGTACTGAAAAAAAAGTTATAAATCGATGGATATCCTCAACAGAATTAAATTATGGTCAGAAATTAATTAGTTTATCCTGCCACAGGAGGTGTCCAACCATGATTGCTGTCAAAGAGGAATAACGATGGATTACAGGCCTCAGTGTGGCTCGGATGGGAAAGTATACCCCAATGTGGGTTCTATGAAGGTTGCAGGTAAGGCGAATTTCTGTTTCATACTGACCAACATGTAGGCACAGAGGAACGCACACGTGCACACACATTACACGAAAGTACACCCACATTTTCACACAGACACAGACACACACACCACACACACAAACACACACACACACACACACACACACACACACACACAAACACACACACACGCACACACACACACAATACAAATATATAATTATATATACATGTATATATAATGTTATAAAATATAAAGGTACATATAACAAGCATATATATATTATATATATATATATAATATGTATATAT